CCATACAAATTCTTCCAGTGCTACAGGAAATCCTTCACAGGTTGCAAGCTTTTCTGATGGAATGACAGGCCAAGAAGTTAACCTGTTTGGTGGGCATCGTTCATCTTGCAAGAGAAAGAATATTGATGGGAGTCTTGCAGAGTCTTCTGCCAATGGTAGTTCACGTAATAATCAGCGAAATAATATTATACTGGAACCTTCTCCATCCAGTCATGAAAGCACTTCTGGTTTAACTGCACCTGCCCCTACAAACCATGTTTTTTCATACTCTCCTGTGGAACAGCTAAACCAGAATACCAATATGTCTGCAAATGCTATGTTGTCTGATCATTATTCACTATATGGTGATCATGAGCGTGAGAGATTTCTGAGGAATACCCGGATGAGAACAAGCCCTAATGAGTATGATCAATCATCGTCCAATCTCTTGCCTGAAGGAAGTCTCAGGTGTTCTGTTTATCAGCCTACTCAGCAACAGTCTTTGTTTATTCCAGTACAACCTAGAGCATCGAGCTCTTCAACAAGTTCTCTTAGTCGGCCTTATGTGCCTGCTGTCACTCAATTCTCACAAAATTTGCACCGTGCTCCATCAAGTGGCAATTTTGGTTCGAGAATAGGGATTTTTCCTAGTTCTGCTGATACAACAAACCAGTTATCTTCACAAGATCCCAACAGGAGCTCGGTGAGAGGCAATTTTCCTGAGCCCCTTCTGTTAGGTTCTTCTCTGTTTCCTTCTGACTCGGCAGAATTGCTATCTATGCCGGGAGGCAGAAGCAACCAACAAAATTCCAGCTCCACAATTCGAACTGCTGTAAATATAGGAGCTCAACAGATTGCTGGGTTAAATGCATCCCAGCCTACTTCAAGCTCAAGGGGTTCGGTTGATATTGTTAGGAGATCCTTGCAGGCTGCTAGCGTTCCTCAGTCCAGAGGTTCAAGCATTACATCACAGCAGCAACGTGGGCATTCATCCACATCACATGAGATTCGAAGCCATCAACCTGGATCCAGCTCTCGTGCCAATCAGCAGCATTATGTCAGGGCTGTTCCTCACTCTGTAGATAGGCAAAACTCGAATTACTTGGACCTGCAGTCTTTTATGCAAAGCATTGCTGCTTCAAGAGACGGAATTAGGACAGTCTCAGAGGTATGTCGCTCTAGAGCTCCACCCAAATCTCCTGTTTTAATTAGCTGTAATATTGTGCAGAATTGTTTTTGTTTCTTTGATAAGTACTGATCTGATAATGCTACATATAGTTTCTAAATATGAACTTTTATCTATAAATTGAGAAACTTTCTACCTAGAAACTTTCAACTATAAATTAAATACTTCACAGAAATACTACGTAGAGAATTTTTAAACCGAGAAGAAACTTTCATCTAGGAATTAGAATACTTGTTACGAAATAATTGACTAAACTCTTGTGATTAGGAAACTTTCACTTACAAAATAAAAAGATCGTACAGTAAAACTTTTACATTAATTGTGAAAATGTAGAGATTTAATGAAAATGGGAAGTATCAAGGAAAATAGAAAAAAATAGGAATGCATGATATCCATGTAGCCCATTTGACCTGGCTGACACAGGCCCACAGCAGACAGTTTCCATCGAGAGAGGCTACCAAATTTGGTATGTACCATGTGTAGTAGGATTTTCTGGCACACTGCACTCTCGCGCTGTAGGTATTCCTGCTGCCACACCCTTATAAGCATTGGTCAGGCCACCACGCCACTGCTTGAGCTGCTTCTTGATTACTCCCTCCTTCCAAAAGTCTAAGACCTATTACATGTTTTGGTTTTTCCAAAAATCTAAGTCCTATTTGTAGTCACTATGTGCTATATTAAATTTTTTATTGGAACCCAAGAAACCATTTTAGTACTTATTGGTTGCATGTTCATTGGTTTTGTCACATGATGAATGAATCAATTACTCCTTTGTCTTGATGCAAAAAGAAATAGGACTTAGACTTTTGGATGGAGGGAGTATTTGGGAGTCTGGTTTGCGAGGCATTGGGGTAGATGGTAAGCGCTGCCTCATGAGGCGCTGCAGATGCCGTCGCCATGCCTTCAGATGCCATGAGCACTGGTCCTGGATCTGCGCATGTGCTGTTCACTTGTTGTTACTGAGAAAGAACCATGTGAAAGATAAAACTAAGGAAGATGAGGGTAATTGGGGTATTTGAAGAAAAAAAATTGACGAGAGCCAGGTCACTAATGGTAGAACAAACTAATAAGGCTAACGACAGTGGCATGTGAGGGTAGCAAAATTTAGTTTGTGGCAAATAAGGTGACAACAAATTTTCAGTGGCAAATAAGGAAACTGGTTAATTTTGAGTTGCAAATAAGGAATTTTCTCCTCTTGGTTCTGTTCATTATTCATTGTTTTGTTAGATTTTTAGAATATGAGCTATTTGAAGTTAGTAGATTTATGGTTTACACAACAATGCATTGCACAAATATTTTGAAAGGTATGCTGGGCATGATGACAAGGAAAATAGAAATGTGCGATTGAACTAGTCAGAAAAGGACAGTAGATAGAGAGGTATGCGATTTCCTTCATTGAACCAAATTTGTTGTGAAATGGAACGATTCCTACAATGGTGATCCTTAAGATCCATTACGATGAGATATTATTTTGTTTCGAGATAGACTGTCCTGTTTTTGTGTTTTGCTAATGAGATCGGTATCACAAGCTATATTGAATTTGGCTAGTCATCCTGTAGCCCTTGTATTGAGATTAAAACTGTTAATCATTTATTTGGTTAATTTCCCTAAACTAAATTTGACGCTATCGATTCGGTTATTAATTAGTCCTATACAAGGTGTATTTGCTTATTGTAAGAGGTGGATCTTAGTTGCCTATGTTGTCCATGTTTAACTAATAACAGGTTGATTTAACTGTAACTTGGCTTCCTTCCATATCTATCTCAAAATTAGCATATGTCAACATTTTGAAGAGATCTGCTATTAAAGTCACTAATAATTTCAATAACTTCATCATTTCTTTTGTGGTTGTCAGTCTGCCAATCAACTTGTGCATCTTCGCAATGTTGTTGAACAAATTCGTCAGGGAAGAGGTGGAAGGTTTGAGGTCAGAATTGAATCTTTTGTTGTAAATTATATTTTCCAATGGTGCATGTATTTTCTCTGCGGGTCTGTTAATTGTGTAACTTGAGCCTTCGATTTAGTGAAGATAATGCAATCGATTTCTTTGCTCTAGATAGGACCTTGCAAACTGCCTCATCTAGGAACTATTTGCCATGAGATAAGTCTTAGTGTACAACCTGCTATTGAATTTGCTTCAATTAGGTAACTCAATAGTGCCCATGTTTCATTTGAAATGGTAAATAGCATCTTTCTGGCTTTTATTATGATGTATGCAACCTTCATTTCTTCAAGTACACTCCAAAAGCTCTCTAATCATAACTCTGGTTTCAAATTAATGAATTCAACCTTGTTATGTACATTGCAATATCACTTTATGCTACTCCCTCATCCTCAAATAGAGATCAAATAGAGGTTTTGGAATACGTGATCAAACTTTAAAACATTTTAACACAAATATGCACAGCATATTATTGGGATCTTCATTATGTGAAAATGCACTTAGTAGATTAATCATGAACAACATTTTGAAATGATTATATTTTAATACTTCTCATGAAGATACAATTGGAAAAAGTAATTTTCAAAGGTGCAAATTGAAGTGCCATGTTGATCCATCCTAGTTACGAAGAAGTACAAAAGAATGGAGGAAGTGTATATAATCTTCGATTGAAAACTATGTTGAAATTCTATTTGTATTGTTTCCACGATTTAAATAGCATGTCCAGTAATCTTCCAAGGAAATATATTGGTAAAAGTGGAAGACAAATCAACTATGACATGTGATTTGAATTTTATTGTAATAATGCTTGTACTTCTGAAGTAATCAGGGATTATCATGTATAATTTCTGCCATTCATCTGCTTATGGAATATCTTTGTCACTTTGATCCGACTCTTATGTTGTATCTTTTTTGGGACAGGATCCTAATTTTGAACGTGCACTTTTTGCAAGGCGTGCCAGTTTAATTGACAGACATCGTGACATGCGGCTTGATGTGGATAATATGTCATATGAGGTAATAAGTCATAGCAGTAGTTCCGTCCATGATTTAGGATTTGAGAATTAGCTAAAGACGATCACTGATAGGTATAAACTTAAAAAGAAAATGCTAGAATTTGTGTTTATTGCTGTAATTTGCTGTTTTCCCCAGGAATTGTTGGCACTTGGTGAACGCATTGGGTATGTAAACACTGGACTTAGTGAGGATAAAATTAGGACTGGTTTGAAGCAATGGAAATATGTGAGCATACCGATTGAAGAACCTCTAACTGGTGTTGAACCATGCTGTATTTGCCAGGTAATTCGAAGACCCTATATTTTCTAAACTTGTTAGGTAATTTCTTGATTATTCTTGTTCTGTTTACTGCTTCTGCTTTAAGACTTGAGAGGTATAGGTAAGGAATGTTAATGAGTGGTGAAAAGCAATTAGTCCAATTGATTTTAGCACTAGTTTGTAGATTAGGCTGCATCTCTTTACAATCTGTATTCTGCAGTGGTTAATTTTTGTATAAAGTCCAAATAGAAAGTGCTTATTTGTGCCAAATTAGTATAGAGTCCAAATAGGAAGTGCTTATTTTGAATGAGCCTCTTCTATAGTTTGCTAATTGCTCTCACAGTAGCGGTTAATTCTAGATGCAGTCGACTTTGTTTGTTTTACATAGATCCATATGCCAGAATTACCTTTTTAAAGGCATGTACAATGCAAGATGCTTGCAGTTGGGGCTTATTGAGAGAATGCAGTGACATCACCAAACATCCATTGGAGCACGTGTCTGATTTTAGTTTAGCACCTTAATTGTATCTTATTGCCTTGCTGAATGTGCATTGTTGGGTCTTGCAGGAAGAATATGCCGAAGGTGAGGACATGGGCAGACTAGACTGTGGGCATGACTTCCACACCGCATGCATCAAACAATGGCTGGTTATAAAAAATCTGTGCCCTATCTGTAAAAAGACAGGACTGGGCACTTAATTTTGCGTGCTTCCGCCTGCGAGGAAAGCGGATAAGCCTCTTTAGACCGAGTGGTTGGTTATAAGGCATGTTACACCTTCCAAGATCCAACATACAGGTGGAATTTATACTATAGGGTGGTACATGGTACTTTACCAGAAAGGCGATGGTTGTAGACCTGGAGTTTCTTTTTCCCTTTTGTTTAAACCTAGATTTGAAGTTTAAAATTTATTCAATAACATTCAATTGCAATTGGGCATTTCCTAAGTTTTGCCTGTCATTTTTTTGTCCCCTTTGGAGGTTGCCTGTGTTCTTGCTCTGAGTTGGGAGTTGGAAGTTGTAACCAATTTCTTCGAAGAAACATCCATGCTCCTCAGAGTTATAAGCATCAGGGTGAAAAAGACGTGGATGCAATGCCGCTCAAGGAACATTATCTCATTTGCCAGTATCAATTGCTCTGGAGCGTTTAAAGTTTATCTCATTTGCCAATCTGTGAAATGAGACTCAGAGGGCACCAAGGTGCCATGTGAGAATTCCAGGTGGTCTTGCAGACCATAGAAGAGATCCAGAGAAGCTGTACCAACATGGTGAAAATCTGCTGGTTCCCAGAATCCTAGTCATGGGCAGTAGCAAGATTTCGAGATTATTATTATACGGCCTGAGGCAAGAATGGCAGAATGCAACTAGTGAGAGTATACAAGATCAGATACAGTAATTGCGGTAATTTATGTTTATTTACTCGGACTGTCCGCTGTCAGGGACGGTCTGCCTGTAGGAGTTAGTTGCTGCCGCCGGCTCAGCCTCCATTTCGTTCTCGCCGGAGAGCTCCTCCAGCGACTTCCCCTTCGACTCTGGCACCAAGAACGTGAACAAGAAGCCGACGACGTTGCATCCGGCGAGCAGGAACAGCGAGTTGCGCACGCCGATGCCCCGCGGGTAGCCGGCGTCCGTCTTGCTCGGGTCGGTGCTCTGCGCGGCGTACAAGAACCCGAACGACCCGACGATGGCGCCCATCTTCCCGGCCGCCGACGAGATGCCGTGGCAGGTGGAACGCAGCCTCGCCGGGAAGATCTCGGCCGGCACGATGAAGGTCGTGGAGTTTGGCCCGAAGTTGGCGAAGAAGAAGGTGAAGGCGTACATGACCACGAAGCCGACGTGGTTCCCCGGCGTCGTCCAGTGGTGGTACGGCACGGCGAGGCCGAGCATGAACGCCGTCATGAGGAAGAAGCCGCCGAGCTGGATGGCGAAGCGGCCGACGATGTCGATGAAGAGGACGGTGAACCAGTAGCCCGGGATGGTGCCGCACAGCGCCACGAGCGTCTGTGCCCGGGAGATCTTGAACATCTCCTCCAGGGCGCTCATGGTGTCCGCCTTGGGCAGCCACTGCACCGCCGTGTAGATGTCCTTCTGGAACAGGTTCTGCGAGTAGTAGGCGATGTCCAGCACGAACCAGCACACCGTCGTGCCCAGCAGGTGGTGGCCATGGCGCCGTGCGAATTCCCGGGAGAAGAGCCCGTACTGCTCGCGCCGTGCTGCCTCCTCCTCCGCAGCCGCCGCCGTCGCCGCCGCTGCCTTCTCCTGCTCGTCGACGAGCTCGACGTTGAGAACGCGCGCCATGTCGGCGGCTGCCTTCTTGTCGTTCTTGGCGACCAGCGCGGTGTAGCGCGCCGTCTCCGGCATCTTCATCCGCCAGTAGTAGGTGAGCAGCGCCGGGATGGCGCCGAACATGAGCACGATGCGCCACGCGTAGTCAGCCTGCGGCACGGTGGAGCCGGCCCGGTCGTCCCTGTACGCCGGCGCGTCGAACCGCAACTTGAACGCGGCGGACACGATGATGGCCACGATGCCGCCGGTGAGGTTGCCGAAGCCCTGCATGGCGAACACGGCGGCGATGAACGCGCCACGGGTACGCTTGTTAGCATACTCCGACATGATGGTCGCCGAGAGCGGGTAGTCGCCACCGATGCCGAACCCAAGCCAGAAGCGGAAGAAGCAGAGCGTGGCCATGACGCCTTTCGCCGACGACCCGAACGAGAGGCCGGAGGCGAGGCAGCAGATGACCATGAGCATGAGCGTCATCCCGTACACCTTCTTGCGCCCCATCTTGTCGCCGAGCCAGCCGAAGAAGAGCTGGCCGGCGAGCGTGCCGCAGAAGGCGACGCCATTGACGGCGGCGGAGACGTTGGGCGGGAGGGAGCCGGGGCTCTTGGACGCCGGGTTGAAGTAGTAGATGCGGCCGAGCAGCTTGGTGACGAGGGAGATGGAGAAGAGGTCGTAGGCGTCGGTGAAGAAGCCCATGCCGGCGATCACCACCGCCGTGAAGTGGTACCACTGCGTCTTCGCCGTGTCCAGCGCGTCGAGCACCTTGCGATCCTGAACCATGGCGGCGCCGGCGACTATCTTTGATATAATACTCTAAGTTATTGTGAAATTGTTATGGCACTAGGCTTGCATATGGTCAATGGCAATGGCATGCATGCATGATTTATTGTAGCTATATATATAGTGCAAGGAATTTGGTGTAAGTGACAGGTATTAGCTAGAGAATAAATCCTGGAACATTCTGGTTTGTTCATGCATGGACAAAATTAATTTGTTATGGCTGGTATGCATGGTTACCATCATACTATAGGGCAATGCATATGCATGCATGTCATAATCTCATTGGTATTTTGGCACAGCTTGTGAATGGTCTAGAACATATACAGTTTGAACCTCTGGATCATATAGGCCATTATTAACTAATTTCTCCACTAAATAGTAGGTTGTACTGTTATGTGAATTATCTTGTAAATTGGAGGAAAATACACGAAAAATATTTTAAATGCTGATCTTTAGGTTTATATGTTCCCTCTATTTTTACTTTTCTGACGTTGGTTAGTTCTATTTTATACTTTCCAATGTTAAATAAAAGAAAACAGTGGGAATATTTCATTGGGTATATATATTAATCTTGACTTGTGTTGTTCTATTGTAATGTAGTTGCTTATTCATACCAGGTATGTTATATAAGAGAACATATGTTGGGTGCACAAACTTCGAGTGAAAATTTTAGAAAAGTTTATAAAATATTTTCAATAATATTATTCATATGTATGTCTCAACTGTAAGTTCATTATATTATACCTGCAAAAAAGAGAGAAAAAAAGTTGAGTTTTATGAGTATTAACTACAAGAATTTTGTTTTTTTCCTCTTTAAATGATGAATTTGAAGATGAAACTTTCTATATAGGTGTTTTCATTCTCTATTACTATAGGAGGCACATGTATATTTTTTTTAAGAAAATTTCGATGATATTTTTATGTTAGTTTGTGTGTGCACGAGAAGCTTATGTATATATCACCTATATATAATACTATATGGATCCACCCAAAAAAAATAAAAATTTCTATTTTCTTATAGAGATTAAGACGAAGGAAAATCAAAACAATTATAGTTTTTTGGACGATATGCCCCTAATTGAAGGAAACCATCAACTGGAATGTTCCTGTCCAGTGAATAAGGGGGGAAAGAACAATAATAAAAGTACCTCATAAATGTTTAAGTTTGTGGGTATGAGTTCTAAAAAAAACTGACCTCTCAAATTTTAGAAGATACTTCTTCTGTATTTTAATGAATGATACCGTTGATTTTTTTTGACCATTCGTCTTATTAAATATAAAAATATTTATATTATGCTTAAAAAATATTTGATGATAAATTAAATCACAATAAAATAAATTATAATTACATAAACTTTTTAAATAAGAAAAATGATCAAATGTTAGTGAAAAGGTTAATGACGTTCTACATTAAAATACGGAGGGGTACTATTTTGGTACTATTTTATATTTGAGGATGGAGGGACTAGCTGGCTGGTTGTTTGAACTTCTGGAATGACCCTTGAAACTGTGTTTCCAAACTTCCATCTGCGTGGATTTGGACACATCTAACAGGTCCAACATATCACGATATTCTATACCTGAGCTTGACGACGACTAAAATTAAATATAAGAAAATATTTTGTTTTCTTGGCATCTTGCATGAATCAACGGAAGACAGCAAACATGCCAACGTACTTTCAAAACGATAAAAATATAATAAGTACTCAAATATACCAAACACCCAGCTCGATCAAAGCTTGTTAGTTTAATTAATCTTTTTGGTAAAAATAATTTGGAGTTAACGGGATATTTCCATCTCACCTTATGTGGATTTTTCCTGAAATATCAAATTAGTTAAAACATCGGGTAATTTCACAACCCAACACAACGGCAATTTATTAGATACCCACTCTATCCCATAATATAAGGCACTGTCAAAATTGGTATGGTCTCTAAAACTAATCTTTAACTTATAATTTCTCATATACTGTAAGGTTTGTAGCAACAAAATTATAACCATACGAAAGTAAATTTAAATCACAATCTAATGATATAATTTTTGATAAATAAAATTAATTTCATATTATGCTAAGTGTTGGTAAAATATTTTAAAAGTTAAATCTTGAAATGCGTGCGTGCATTATATTATGGGATGGAGGGAGTAAAATAAGAATGCGAATAATCGCTGGTCTTGATTATTAATGTTTCAACTCCGACTATCTATAACTTTTAAATGGTTACTTGGTTAATCTATAATCAATGAAAGTTAAATTGTCTGTTTATATTTACGATGCAAAACATTTTCATAATATGGTATATTCTAAAATATTTATAATTTTATTGGTACAAAAGATAAGATCAAAATGTGAAGATAAATAATATCAGGTGAATACAGGGAGTATAAACGATGTTGGATGAACTAGAACAACAAATTAACTATATTGAGTAAATTTTACACTATTTTAAGCAAATTATCACAAAACTACAGTTTTAAGGTGGTGTATCACAGAATTACAAATTTAATAACAAATTTGTCACAAAACTAGAAGTTTAAGGCTAAGTATCTTAAAACTATAGATTTAATAATAAAATTATCACAAAACTACAGATTTTGAGGTTTAAATTCTTATTACTACTGCTATGATTAAGTTATAAACGTTCTACTTTTGTAATTAAATTGACGCTATTAGTTTTGTGATAATTGTGTTATTAAATCTGTAGTTTTATGATGCTCCACCTTAAATTGTAGTTTAATTTGTAATAAATTTGGTGTTAAATCTGTATTATTGTGATACATCATCTTAAATCTATTGTTTTGTGATAATTTAATCTTAAATCTATTGTTTTGTGATAATTTAATGAATATATATATGTAGTGTTATAAAATTTACTCTCGTATATTCTTTGGTTAAAAAAGGGAAAGGATCCAAATCCTGGTGCACGCCTACAGTTACATTCATGGAATTATACTTTTTTTTATCAGAAATTCAGTGAGATTTTTAATTTATTTACGTTATACTCTATCTCTTTCAGTCTACGCTAAGGAGGCATGCTCATGGGTGTATGTGGAGTGTCCAAGTGTGGGGTAGCTCTATACATAAAAAAAAAAAAGAAGACATGATCCAAAGCAATACCATTATCTAACAAAACATAACTACGAAATGGACCGAACGGGTTTAACAATTAAGAAACAGGACCACACAAACTGCAATTTACACCTGATAGAAAGAAGCTGCCCTCTTATTTAGTACTGTAAAAGATTCATACCTGGAAATAGTTTATTCAGCTTCTTTCTATCATGTCTAAATTGCAGTTAGGTGCTGCATGCACATCGAGGGAAACTTTATGGTTGATATGGTACATATCATTTGCCTGCTTTGTCTTCCAATATATACAGTGCTCAGAAGAGCACTATGACCCAATTAGTCAAAATATTCCTTCTTAACCATGTAACAACACCGTACATGTGTCTCCTTTTGATCTGGTTTTCCCATTTGCGTGCAAAATTGGGCTGTCAATGGCTCAATGCCATCCACGTTGCAAAATCGCACACCTCACGTAGAGATTTTTGGTTGACTTGTCACTCCTTTTTTCCATTCGGATTCTTCAGGAGGCAATAAAACATAAACGTCTAGTGAAGGTAGGTATGACACTTGTTCGTATTGCAGCTAATGCGAATATGCCACTTGTTACCGACGATCCTTGATCCCAGTGTCCCAGAACAACGAGAATTCTTGAACACACGTGAGAATTGAAACAACACGAACACACGAAGATTTTGGCGCAGCTAACTTGCTTGCCGCTTTTCCGTTTACTTTCCCTTTTATTGAAAAAACATAGAAGTGGCCCATAGGCCGGACTAAGCGCTCCACGATCGCGTGATCGTGTGCCACTAAACGCTCCACGATCGCATGATCGTGTGCCATCCCACACGAATAAGCGCAGAGCGCATACTATGCTATGACTCCACCACACCCAACCCCCGACGTGAACTCGCACGTCTCAGGTGTTCAACGCAACGCGCATGGCGGACTGGCTAGCTCTGCTTAAATGACGAAACTGAAGAAACCAAAAATAAACAGGACGTGCTACAGTTGACCGAAGAAGAACAAGAACTGCAGAAGCAGAGGATGACCGGCGCTGGTTTATTTGCCAATATTTCTACCCCCTAAACTTTGTGCTGATTCTTGATCTCGATGACCCCGATCTGAGTGCGGAGTTCATGGAACCTCACGCGCCCAAGAGCCTTGGTCAGAATATCTGCAATTTACCCTTTAGTACGAATGGAATCAACATCTGTCTTCCACGCATGAGTGAATGTAGTGATATCTGGTAGAGATGTGCTTGCTTCGTTCATGAAACACAGGGTTCTTACTGAGGGCAATGGCTGACTTGTTGTCAACCTTGAGTTTGAAGGCACCCGGCTTGAATCCGCTGAGCTCTCCTAGCAGCTGGCTCAACCTCACGCCTTGGCAGGTTGCTTTCGTAGCCGCAACATATTCAGCTTCACTGGAAGACTATGCCACAATTTTTTGCTTCTGAGATTGCCAACTCACCGGATTTGTGCCAAGGAAGAAGAGGACTCCCATGGTGCTCTTCCGGGTGTCAACATCTCCAGCCATGTCAGAGTCGCTGAAACCCGTCAATGTCGCCGGCCCGACACTTCTGTTGTAGCAACAACCAAAGTCGAGAGTGCTGGCGACGTAACTCAAAATTCGTTTCACAGCCGCCATGTGCTCACTAGTGGGGGTCTCCATGAACCTGCTCACATACCCAACTGCAAAAGCTATGTTAGGGCGCATGTGAACCAGGTAACACAAGCTTCCAACGATGCTGCGATATTCAGTGGTGTCCTCCGGCGAGGCGGAGCTTGATCTGCTTAGTTGTAGGCGAGTCTCCATGGGAGTGGTGTAGGCATTGCACCCATCCATCCTAGTCTTGGTCAGCAGCCGGCGCGCGTAACCACCCTGATGCAGAGTGATTGCGGCCGTGCTCTGGTGCACCTCGATGCCCATGTAAAAAGTGAGCTCTCCCAGATCGCTCATCTTGAACAACTGCTTCATTTCTTCCTTGAACACCTCGATCTCCCGTGTTTCACCGCCGGCGATGATGAGGTCGACCACGTATGCGCCGACGAGCAACTGTGATGTGCCCCGTCTGCGCACGTACACTGCGTGCTCAGACTCGCTATGAGTGAACCCGTGCTGTTTGAGATTGTTGTCCAGCTTCTGGTTCCAGGTGCGCGGCGCCTACCGCAGCCCTTACAACGCCTTGTCCAAGCGTAGTACCTTGTCCTCTTTACTGGCGAGGATGAAACCGGGTGGCTGCTTGACGTATACTTCTTCAGCAAGCTCACCGTTGAGGAAGGCCGACTTGACGTCCATGTGATGCACAACCCATCCATGCTCAGCAGAGAGGGCGACCAGTAGCCGGATGGACTCCAGCCGCGCCACCAGCGTGAACACCTCCTCAAAGTCGACGTTGGCTTGCTGCACATATCCCTTCGCCACGAGACGAGCTTGGTACTTAGCGATCGCACCTTGGGTGTCCTTCTTCACTTTATAGACCCACTTGAGGCCTATTGCTCGATGTCCCGGCGGCAGATCAGCGAGGTGCCAGGTGCCGTTCTGAATGATGGAGTCCATCTCTGCCTACTTGGCAACGCGTCACTGCGGATAAGATTCTGCCTCCTTGAGTGCTACCGGCTCCTCTAATTCTGCCTCCTTGAGTGCTACCGGCTCCTCTAACACCTGCAGGTGCAGCTCGCCCTCCACAAGCTTATGCATGATTGGACGGGGAGGATCGCACTCACCAAGAATTTCGTCCAGCTTGCGAAACCGCTGTGGGCAGTCATTGTGGTCGTTGTCGATGTTCTCCGAACCACCTCCCGGCGGCGAGACGAAGGTAGGAGTCCTGCTCGCATCGTGCATGCCTACGGGCAATGTGCCAGCCGGCATGGGCGAGACCATTTCACTGTGTGGCGGCGACTCCCCCGAAGCTTGTGAGCCCGGCTGGGTAGCTTCAGCCAGGTATTCGACGGTGAATTCAATGGCCGGGGTTGCAGAGGAACCCTCAGAGCTGTGCCAATCCCAGCTGGCAGCCTCGTTGAACACCACGTCACGAGACGCGTGAACGTGGCCAGTCACCGGATCGAACACCTTGTATGCCTTCGAGCCCTTGAGTGGCCGAGGAAGACCATCGGCGTACTTGATCATCAAGCTTCTTCAGGTTCGGGTGTGTGTCCCTGACATGCACGATGCAGCCGAACGTGCGTAGGAAGTGCACAACCGGCTTGTGTCCGTGCCATGCCTCATCGGGCGTGCGCCCTTCGACGATCTTTGTCGTCACCCGGTTGTGCAGGTAGACAGGCGTGGTGACGGCTTCTCCCCAGAACCGCGCCGGTATCCCTCTTGCCTTGAGTAGGGCACGTGCAGTGGCCACCATTGTCTGATTTCTCCTCTCCACAACCCTGTTCTGTTGTGGTGAGTGAGGTGCGGAGAAGTGCCTCTGCATGCCCCGGTCAGCACAATACTCAGCGAATTGAACTGATGTGAACTCACCACCGTTGTCAGTTTGTAGAACACGAAGTCGCCTTCCCGTCTCCGTCTCGACGCTAGCCTGAAAACACTAGATTTTGGCAGCGGCGTCGAACTTGGCGGCGAGGAGATGCAGCCACATGAAACGGCTGCCGTTGTCCACCAGCAAGAGGAAGTACTTCCTCCCTCCCAGTGTGGCCGGGGTGATCGGTCCGCACAGGTCACCATGGACAAGGTCCAGGAGGCCGTATGCGCGGAAGTGCGCCTTCACTGGGAATGGGGTGCGACGATGCTTGGTGGTGATGCAGCAGTTGCATAGTTTCTCTGCCTGCTCGAATTGGAGGGAGACCGCGCACCATGTCGTGGCGTGCGAGATGCCGAAGCGCGTCGAAGTTCAGGTGGCCGTAATGGGTGTGCCAAAGCCACGTCGTCTCCTAGCCATGGGCTGAGAGACACACCGGGCGAGAAATCAGCAGGCGTACCTTGTAAAGACGATTTGCACTCCTCTTGATCCTGGCAAGCACCTTGCAGTGAGGGTCCCAGATGCGCATCATGCCACAGTGGACCTCAACGTGACACCGTATCTCGTTGAGCTGCCCTACACTGATCAAATTAGCAGTGAGGCGAGGGATGTAGTACGCCCCAGTTACTGCGCGATGTTGGCCATCTGCCGTCTAGAAGAGGATCTTGCCACACCCTTCGATCGCCACCACCGAGCCGTCTCCAAAGCGAACGGTGCTGCGCACTGCCATGTCCAACTCCGAGAAGGCAGCGTGCGACCCCGTCATGTGATTGGTTGTGCCGGTGTCGAGGTACCACAGGCCATAGTCACAGCGTTTTTCATCATCAAGGTGAGCAAACACCTTTGCCTCTTCGACGTGAAGCGACGACGGCGACGCCGGTGGCGGGGTGCCACCGCGCTCTGGTTCAATCACCGAGCACACTCGGGCCATGAGAAGCGTTGGCTCCTCATCGTCGTCTCCTGACTCTGCTTTGGCTTGATGGGCTTCCTGCTTCTTGGGCAGGCGGCATTCTCGGGCCCAATGACCCTTCCTGCCATAGTTGAGGCAAGTGTAGCGGGGCACGTCGCGGTTCGTACGCTCGCCGTCATGCGAACTTGAGTCCACCTTTTTTCGCGTGCCGCGCGAGCGACGTCGGCTGCCCTTGACAGCTTGGGTCTTGGATGAACCCGCCTTGGCTTGTTTCTCCTTTTGACGTGCCCCACTGTTCCTCCGTGAGATACAGTTTGCCGGCGTCCTGGCCGCCCTTGCCACCGTAGCCCTTGCACTGCTCCGCATTGCGAAGTCGCCCGGTCACCTTCTCGAGTGACAAGGAGTCGATGTCGAGGAGAGTTTCCATGGAGCAGGCAATGTATGAAAGATGCGCGAAAGATGTTTGGGATCGGTGCCCCGAGCGTGGCCAGCGACGTGACAATGCTGCTTAGCCGGAGTGAGAATTCCTCCACGGTCTTGCCCTCAGCAAACTCAATGGAGTTGTACTGTCATTCGAGCTGATGCGCCTTGGATTTTCGCACGCGATTGACACCGACACGCATCAGCTTGATGGCATCCCAGGCGTCTTTGGCCATCGGCTTGACAACGAGCGTGGACAGCATCTCGGGTGGCACAGCTCGGAGAATGGCCTCCATGGCCATCGGATCTTCCTGGAAGTCAGTGTCTCCGGTGTTCACAGCCTCCCAGAGGCTGCGAGCTTGAAGCATTACTTTCATCATCAACGCCCAGTCTCCGTAGTTGGTTTTCGTCAAGATCGGGTAGTTAGCCGAACTCCCAACCTCCTTCACGACATGTCGGACGAC